CACCAATAATCCCACTAAGGGGAACACCCACAATAACCCCAACCAAGGGGAGCCCCAACAATAATCCTAACCAAGGGGAGCCCCCCCCAATGACCCCCAACCAAGGGGAGCCCCTCCCCCCCAATAATCCCAAACAAAGGGGAGCCCCCCCAATAATCCCAGCTGAGGGACCCCCCCCCGTAACCCCAGCCGAAGGGAGTCCCCCCAATAATCCCAGTTGGAGGAGTCCCCCCCAATAATCCCAATTGGGGGAGTTCCCACCAATGACCCCAACCAAGGGGAGCCCCCCCCAATAACCCCAACCAAGGGAGCCCCCCCCCCATAACCCCAACCATGGGGAGCCCCCCCCATAACCCCAAACAAAGGGGAGCCCCCCCCAATGACCCCAACCAAGGGGGATGGGATGGGATGATGATGGGATCTTCCCTACCATCCCGTCTCTCTTGAGCCAATCTATCTTATGTTCCATATTACATTCCATATTATATTATATTTTATATAAAATTTTATATTAAATTTTATATTATATTTTATCTTATATATCTTTTAGGAGCAGCTGCAGTGACTCCAGCCAAGCGTATCTCAGGGAGACGGGGCTCCGCCCTGGGGGCGGGCAGCATTTGGGATGGGGGTGTGCTCTGGTCCTACATCCAGTACCCAATTACACCACAAGGTGTACCCAAAGGCTTCCTTTGGGAGCATTTTTGATGGGCAAAAGCGGTGCCCTACGAATTGTCTAGGGTCCCACTTAGGGTTTTGGCATAAACATGGCATATGTTTAGGGCTCTTTGGAAAGAGAGAAGGCACAGAGCCCTGTGTCCTGTGGGGTCAATAAAGGCTCCCAAAGGGAGTTCAGGTGTACCCAAAGGTTTCCGTTGGGAGCATTTTTTGATGGAAGAAAGTGAAGCCATACGTGTTTTCTAGGGTCCTACTTAGGGTTTGGCTCAGTGTTCTGGTTACAGTTACATTTAGGGTTGTTTGGAAAGGGAGAAGAAGAAGGGTTTAGGGTTAGGGTTAGGGTTTAGGGTTGGGGTTAGGGTTTAGGGTTAGGGTTAGGGTTAGGGTTTAGGGTTGGGGTTAGGGTTTAGGGTTAGGGTTAGGTTCTAGGGTTTGGGTTAGGGTTAGGGTCATTAGGGTTAGGGTTAGGGTTAGGGTTAGGGTTAGGTTCTAGGGTTTGGGTTAGGGTTAGGGTCATTAGGGTTAGGGTTAGGGTTAGGGTTAGGGTTAGGGTTAGGGTTAGGGTTAGGGTTAGGGTTAGGGTTAGGGTTAGGGTTAGGGTTGGGGTTAGGGTTAGGGTTAGTCTTATTGTTAGGGTTAGTGTTAGGGTTTGGGTTTAGGTTTAGGCTTAGGATTAGGGTTGGAGTTAGAGGGTTAGGGTTAGTGTTGGGTAGGGTTAGGGTTAGAGTTAGGTTTAGGTTAGTGTTAGTGTTAGGGTTAGGGTTAGGGTCGGGGTTAGGGATTAGGGTTAGGGTTAGGGTTAGGGGATAGGCTTATGGGAGACTTTAGAGTTACATTTAAGGTTGTTCGAAAGAGCCAACACAGAGGGTCCAGCTGCATGTGGGGCTGCGTGAAGGCTCCCCTGGGGAGTTCAGCTGTACCCAAAGCATTCCTTCGGGGGCACTTTTTGATGGGAAAAAGGGGCTTTGTAGGTGTTTTCTGGGGTACTATTTTAAATCTGTCTTTTAAGGGGGACACTGCAGGTGGCTCAGATGCAGCAGGGTGCAGGGGGGGACACAGCAGAATTGCAGCAGGGGTGCAGGGGGGACGCAGCAGGGTGCAGGGGGCTCAGGTACCCCAGGGATGCTGCAGGGTCCTGGCAGCCCGGACTGGCAGGAGCTGGGCTCGGGGTTCAGCTGGGAGCAGGAAGGGGCCGAGGTGCAGCCCCGGGGCTCTCCCTGCGCCTGCTCTGGGTGCCCAGGATTTGGGGCTGGGGGGGTTTGTCCTGCAAAGGGGCAGCAAAGGGCCCGGCATCCCGTGCGTGCTGCCCCCCCCTGCACCCTCCCAGGTGCCTCGCTCAGCCCCAGCCCTGTGGGTGGAAGGGCTGCGAGCCAGCCTGGGGGGGCTGCGGGGCTTTTGGAGCGGCACGGGGCGGGGGGGACCCCTTGGCTGGCACCCCCCTGGGTGGCCGCAGCGGTTCCCACCAGGGCAGGAAGCGTTTGCCAAGAGCCTGCGGTGTCGTCACCACCTGCGGGGCCTCGGCCGGCATCGCCTCCGCTCTTCTGAGAATTCACCCCCGGTTCCCCATTTCTGCGGGGACGGGGACAGCTCCCAGCCCTACAACTGGGGGCACCGAGTGTGCCGGGGCTCTGCCCGCAGCGGGGGTCCTGGGGTCCCCTCCTGCCCGGTGCCCAGCTCCTGGCTGAGGCTCCTGAAATTTTGGGGCCAGTAGCTGTGGAATTTGCCATTTTGGGTCCGCCTGCGCTTCCTGTGGCAGGTGAGAGGCAGGAGCTGGGGGTCCCGCAGCGCCTCGCTCAGCCCTGTGGTTTCTGCGGGGCTGACGGAGCCGGGTCTGGGCTTTCTGGTGGCTGGAGACGGAGGCTGAGCCCCCCAGGCAGCCCTGCAGCTGAGGCCTGCTGGCTCGTGACACTTGTGACTGCAAGGACTGGCACCTCTGAGCTGCTGTGGGGTCCCCTAGGGGACATGGGGTGGCTCCTGGGTTGCTTCTCCCGCAGCGCCGGGTCCTGCGTGGGCAGCGGGGTCCCCGTGGGGAGCAGCCTCTGATTTCGGACGCGATGCCCCGCTCCGTCACCCCGAGCGGTGATGCTGGACCTGGGGCTGAGGCGCCGTGGCCTCCCTGCACCACCACGGCGGCGTCCACCTCGACCTCAAGGTATGGGGCTGGGGGCTGGGGGCTGCAGGCAGGGGTGGAAGCAGGACCACGCTGATGCTGTCCCCTGCCCATCAGCCCCAGAACATCCTGCTGACCTGAACCCCCCCGGGTGACATCCACAGCGTGGATTTTGGGCTCTCGTGGCGGGTGGATGCGGTGCAGGAGGTGTGGGAGATCCTGGGCACGTGGGTGGGCACCACGGTGGGGTCACCTCCTGCACCGGGCTCTGCCGTGCTGGACCCCTCTGAGCTCCCCCCCCTTGCTTCTTGCAGCTCCAGAGGTCCTCAGCTCCGAGCCCATCACCGATGTGTGGTAAGGGGCATCCGCACACCCCGACCCTGCTGGGGAGCACCGCGGTCACCTGCATCCTCCATGGGCACTGGGCTGAGCTCTTGGGGACAGGTTGGGGGAGGCCACATCGTGCTGGTGACATCCCTGGGGTCCCAAACCAACACATCCCCAGGTCCCCGTGAGGTTCAGGCTGTGCTGTGGGGCCGGTGGAGGGGGACACCGAGCCCCCGGTTGGCCCCAAAGGAGACGAGGAGCTGGTGCTGGTGGCCTCCTGCACGCTGCGATGCCCCTGCCCGCAGCCTGGGGAGGCCGAACCGGGGGGGAAACCGGTGGCAGCCCCCCGGGAAGGGGCCCAGGAGGTGAGCGTGGCCGTGCCACCGGGCAGCAGCAGCTGGGACACGGGGGACGGGCAGCGGGGCTTGGCTGGGAACCGGGAACGGGGGTCCCAGTGAGGGCAGTGCCGTAGCCCAAAACCGGAGGAGCCCCAGGAGGGGGTCCCGGGGGGCTCAGCACCGGGAGCAGCTTTGCCGTAGGATGGCCCCGAGGAGGGGGCTCGGGGTGGGGGGCTCGGGGCTTCGCTTGCTGCGCTGCTGGGTTAAGAGGGGGGGGGTCCCGGTGCCGAGCAGGGGCAGCTCCAGCCTGCAGAGGGCACTGCGAGACCGGGCAGCGGCGGGGGAACCGGGGGAAGAAGCGGCCCGAGCCCCCCCCCCCCGAGCCCCGGGGCCGCCCCCGCTGCCCTACCCGGGGAGGAGACGGGGCCACGGCCCTGGGCTTGGTCTCCATCGGTGGAAGTGGAGGGGGCTCCAGCGTAGCCCCCCCCCGGAATGGAAACGGCGAGCAAGAGAGCCCCGGCACTCCTGGACCCCCCCTGCAGGGATCCCAGGGGGAGAAGCACAGAGCTGAGCCCCCCCCAAGGAGCACAAAGGGGAACCCGTGCTGGGAGATGGTGTGGGGCACCCATCTCCCTCGGGGGGGCTGTGGGAGGGCACCCACCCCCCCGTGGGCATTGCCCAGGGCAGAGCCTGGCTCTGGGGACAGCCCCGACCCCCACTGCTGGAGGAGGGCGAGCTCAGGGCTCCTCCGAAATGAGGCCAGGGCTCCCCGCAGCCTCCCCCCTCCACTGCCAGCCCTGAAAGCGGCCCAGCAGAGCTATGGAAACGGGCAGAAATATTTGGATTGCACACCAAGAGCTCGCTGCGGGAGTGGTGCAAGGGAGCAGGGGAAGGGGTGAAAGGGGAGAGTAGCCCCTGGCCACAGCTGGCACCCAGAGCAGCGGGGGAACCACGTCCCTGCGTGGGGCAGGAGCCTCCAGCTCCAGGGACACGGCCAAATTCAGGCTGCCCAACCCCGCTCCTCGACCAATACATTAGGAGACGGAAGCACAGCAAAGCTGGAGCAGCTTGGAAAACACAATCAGCCCCAAAGCCCACGGCAACCTCCCTTCCGCTCCTCCTGCGCATTTGGAAAAAAACCCGCAGGCAGCTCCAAGCCCGCAGGAAAGGCCTGAGTAAACACGGCCCGGGGGGCTCTGGCCTGGAGCAGAGCCTGTTTGCCTCAGCCCCGTGGAAAGGGCAGCCACAAAAACTGGGTTTAATCAAGGTTTAGTTTGTAATTCCTGCGTGTGTGCAGCCGAGGCAGCCCTGCTCTGCCCCAGCTGGCCTGGGTTCAGGCTGGGCACCGGGGCTATAAGCACGGAGACATTCCAGCCGAGGCACAGGCACGCTGCTCTCATTTTACAGGCTGCTCTCCCATCCCCTCTCCTCTTAGCAGCCACCAAGGTGACAGAAAAACACAGAGCAGGAAGGTTTTTTAAGGGCCCCGCTCTCCCCCAAAGCCTCCCCAGCATGAGGGGGAGGAAAGAAGGAGAGGCCACACCAGAGGTAGTGCAGTTAGTTTAATTTATAGTGACCATCAGCAACACGTTCCACCTGGGCAGGACTGCGGTCGCTGCTCCAGCTGCATTTTGATGTTGTCTTTCTGCAAACACCCTTGTAAACATACAGCAAGGTCTGCCTGTAAACACAGCAGTGGCCCAGAAGGTGACGAAGCGCAGCTCCGCACGCACGCGTGACACCATCTGCACCAAGTGCACACACACCTTTCCCCTTTCTGTGTGGCATTTCTGCTTCAGATCCAGGTTACGATGATTCTTGTTATTGTTCTACGCTGTCCATACATAAATACTCCAGATCCACTGTGACAATTAACAACAACACACAACATAGACACACACACAGCTCCCTGCTCCTACAGCTACGTCACGGTGAGGAGGGCAAGGCAGCGCTCACCTTGCACAGGAGAAAAAAGCAACGGGTGCAGTGGGGAAATACGGCAGAGACCCCACTGCCACGGAGACTTTTTTTGGGGGGGAAGACCCTTTGGGGAAGACTCAGCCTCTCTTCTCCCTTGATGGGCCTCTTAGACCATGAGCGTACCCTTGCCACCGGGACCTCTGCTCCTGCAAAAGCTGGATGCCATCATGCACAAGGGGTCAGCTGGATGTGCCAGCACCTCTGAGGGCTTTGCAGCCTCGGGGCTTTGTTTTGAAATGAGACAGCCACGACAGTGCAACTGGCACGTGTAGGCATCTTACAGCTGGACCATGTCCACGAGGTGCACAGGCAGCCCCGCGCACTGGGGACACGTGGTACCTGGAAGGAACACCAGAGCGCTTCCCGATGTACCCCACGTCTGTCCAAAAAACACCCAGTCTCTCTCTGTCTGTCTTTCCAGTCATGGTTTTAGGCTGAGCTGTGCAGGCTGGCCCCAAGGCACCCGCACACAGGCCTGGGCTAGCAGCAGCAAAGTCCCCGTGCTCACCAGACTCCAGAAACAAGCAGCAGAACCAGGCACGGAGCTTTGCCTGGGATATTTGAGCATGCAGATGCTTGGTTAAAGGAGCATCTTCTCTCCATGAAGGAGAGAAACCGGATTTTTTTTTTTTTCAAGGACAAGCCAGGCAAAGGCCAGGTGTTTCTCCATCACTAGGGCACAAAGAGAACCCCCCCACACTTAGCTGAGGCCCCTCGAGCCGTGCCCCTTCATCCCAGCACCTCAAGTCTTGTCCAGAGGTCAGAGAAGAGCTGAATCTCAAAGGGTAAGAGGTTGTTTTTGCCAGATTAAAAAAACATTGCACACGTGGAAGCACTGGAGGTAGGAGAAGCACACCCTGAACTGCCCATTGCTCATAATTTAATCAGAGGCTGAGACACGTAGATCCACATGCAAAGCTCCCTGTAAAAAATCTCTTTTCCTGAGCAGCAAGCTTTACGCAAGCTGAAGTTGCCTTTTCTTCTCCGTGTGCCTTTATGCCCACTCAGCTGTAGCTGCATTTTTCTCATGCTGCCCTGATAAGCCTGCCAGGAAGCTCACAACACGAGAAGGACACTATTACACACCACACCAACACTTCATGCACTTCATATCTTCAGCAGTAAACTTAAGGAAGGAGCAGTTTCTTTGATCCAGTGTCACTCAGTACCCGAGAATGCCAAAGCTCTCGGCTTGGAAATTCCACGATAACACTCGAGGCTGCTGCAATAAGTTATTTTCACTAGGGGAGGAGTACATGCAACTCAGACACACGGGACAGTACTAGGCATAGATCACAGGTGGTTAACACTGCTGGAGCAGAGGGATCTCTAATCGTCAAACTTCCCTTCGCGGATGGTATCGAATGAGAAGGGCAGGAACTTGAACCCAGTGCCAGTGTAGAACTTGTTCTGGAACTCAATCCTGCAAGAGAACAGAGCGAGCACTCATTAGAAGGGCAGGTCTCTCACGAGAGCTGGAGATTAGCAGGAACTCCATTAAAAAGGAGCTGTTTATGGACCATAAAAAGAAGCCTTTAAAGAGGAAGAAGTAGGATTATGATGTAGCTCAGCTGCTGGCACAAAACCCAGTTTGTTTGACGTTTCTGGAGCAGAGGAAAACTGTCAAGGTACTGATCCCAGCACCACAGGGCAACAAAAATAAGAACTCCTGAACCGTGGTGTCACTTAGAAGCACCTAAAGCACCCAGCAGTTCCTATAAGATCACGTTACCTATAAGACCACGTTACTGAAGTTCACATTTTCACCACAACAAAGCTCAGTCGCACGGTGCTGCGCTCTGACTTCCTCCATCGGTTGCTTCTGTTTATTTACTTAAGCATATTTGGTTTTTGCCCACATGACTCCTTCTCCCGAGCTAGAGATGTGCCTGCTGTCTGAAGCTGAACATTAACTTCGCCTTGTTTGCCTGCTTCCCCTAATAAACTCAGTTTAAAAAAAGAATTATGCTCGAGAACTGTCCAATGGTCAGCAACAGCTAAATAGGGAGAGAAAAAAAATAATCCCATGATTCACAATAAAAACAAGCACAGTGTTTCAGGAGCCTCATGAGCAACACTTTCCACTGCGTGGCCCACTAAAAAACTTAAGTCTCTGCAGGAATCAAGCAGCAGCAGATTGTACAGCTATTCTAGCACAGTTCAGAATAAATGCAGAAAAATCTCACTCTAATTATTTTTTCCAAGTTTGAGAACCATGGCAAAGCCCAAAGCTGATGGAATCGCAGCTGGCAAAAAGCGGTTTCTCAACAGAGCTCAGGAGTCAGGAGTGAAACTCATAAAAAGAGCTTTTTGCTCATATGTTCTGCTGCCTGTTCATGCTGATAAGCAGAGAGTTCCCTGCAGAGGAATCCCTAGGATGAACAGGATTTTCCGTGGGGGAGGAAGGGCTCCTTGCCAACACGCTCCAGTTTTTCAGGAACCCTGATAATCTCCATAAGTATCCTGTGACTAAGTGGCTGTTCTGTAAGCAAAGGGAAATAAGAGGCAGCCGGTTGGGTATCTGACTCACACAGAACCCACTGTAAATGAAATGTTAACCCCGATGATTAACTGTTCCAGCTGGCCCTGACACCCAAAAGCTCCTTTTGGACAGACTCGGTTACAACTGGCCACAACTGGATACCCGAAGCTCAAGGAGAAGCTGTTGTAAGGTTAGAAAACCAGTGAAAAAGTTTAACTACATTCCACAGCTTGAACTGTGTGTTTTTCCTGCAATTGTCTACAGAGTAATGCCCAGAACCCAAGGTCCTTCCCTGATATTAGAAATTGCTGTTCCCAGGGTCACTCACACTCTCATGCACGCTAGCTTTACTGCTACACTTTGTACTGTCTCTCAGTGATCAAATTCTGCAGAAGAATTTACTAGACAGCAGTGCAAAGTAAATAAACAGACCAGAAAAAGCTTTCTGGTGGTTTGCATTCAAGAAAACCCTTTTTTCAGCTTTTTTTTTCTTTTTGTAGTAATAGTTAAGCGTTTGACGGGCTGAAGTTGCAGGGATTTTCCAACCCGCTGGTCACAGAATAACCAAACTGTTTGGAAAACCAGGCAGCTCCCCGTCCCATCGGGAAGCAACTGCAGAGACATCTGTTGAACAGGAAACCCAACTTTCAGTTAGCTCAAGTGCAAATTCCTGCTTGGTATTTATATCCTTAAGGAACACGTCGATGCCTGAGCTGGCAGCGACTCCGAGGGCAGCCTGCAGTGCACCTTGCGGGTGCAAAGCCAGCAGGGTGTTTGTGCAGAGATGGCTGCAGCCTCTCTTTCCCCAGAAGGACAGCAGTTTCACATGCTGCGGGATCATTCCATCCTACGCTTGGGGCAGATGGCCTTTTAGAGCAGTACCGCGCTGCGATGGTCACACTACAGACATACCCTGGCTTATGACCTTTATGAAGGAAAATAAATACATTTCTGGCGAGTGGGTGGGGAGCTGGGCTTTACTACTCCCACGTCCGCTGGCTGGATTGCAAGTGGGATGCAGCTCCAGCACGCCCACGCCTCTCAGAAAGCAGCACTCCCCCTCGGTGGCTGCAGGCCAGGAGCAATGCCAGGGCAGGGCAGGGCCTGCCTCTCTTCTCAGCTTACAGCTGAGCGCAGCCATCTGCAAGGCACCACAGAACTGCTGCTTTTTATTTACTCCACCCGGTTGTTCGAGGCTGACCACGCTTGTGTTTGAAACCTATTTTGGTGGCACCGGGCAGCCCCACAGCCTTTGGAACAACACGGGCTTTGTGTGAGCTTCCCACCTGCAGCTGCACCTAACGTTGTGCGACCAGGAGGAACGCTTGGGATCTGTTTCGCTGCCTCCAAGGGACTCAGCTCATCCTCTGAATGTCCATGAACCTGTGGCAAACAACTCAGGCAACACATGGCAAAGAAAAATCACATTTATACCTGTCTCAAGTACATGGTGAAGTGCACACACCTCCCAGAGAAGCTGCTCATGCACTCAGGAAGGAGAAACCAGACTCCAACCCTTAGCACCAGCAGACAGTCCTCCGTGTTTGCCAAACCCATGCTCACATGTGACTGGGAACCACTCTCTCCACGCTGATGGACGTGGGCTGAGGTGTGGGAGCTGAAACACGCACTGGGGTGATTAGAGCCAAGCCTGGACAATGGTTTGGCCGTGGCATTGGCAAGGGTAAAAACTCCCAACGCTGGAACTGAGCCTCCACATCACAGTCATCTTTTATCACTTACCTGCCTCCTGCAGAGCAGCACGACCCCCACTCTTTGCTGCTCTGAATTAACCTGATTTGCTCTGCATTATGCCTGCTGCTATCCATTCTTTTCAGCAATGGCCTGCTCTTGGGATATATTCTAAGGAAAAGAGCTTCCAGCTCTAAACCAAGCCTAAAACCTTGCTTTAAACAGGCAGCTCCACCAAAACAACATTTCTGCATCAACTGCTGGTGCTGTGAGCTGGCTCTGCATCCAGATACAATAGTCTCTTTTTGGGCAAAGTCTATGTTTGCTTTCATTAGAACTGCTGACCAGCTCATAAAGAAGTGAGGTACGATAACGTAAACAGAGATGTCAAGCTCCATCACCGCAAAGCAAATACATTTTGTATTTCAGAACTGGGATGTTACAATGCAAGGAATTAACCACACGGCATGGGGCGTAGCTCAGACAGCTACCGAGTTCCAGCAGACCTCTGATAAAGGAGACTGCGATCTTGGCAGCACTGTGAGTGCTTTCCTCCACCTCAAAACGCTTCAGAAAAACCCAGCCTGCAGAAAAAATGCTCGCTTTCTGAAAAAGCACGCAGCAAATCCTCCTCATTTGGGACTGAGGGGCAGAGCTCATGGAAGAATCTGTTCTTCCCACTGAATGACTCCTCCTTTCCAGGAAGGCTGAGCCACCCACACCTTCAGAATTCCAGATAGGTGACTCTTCTCCCAGAGCCACAAAATATGATCTGCTCTTCCCAGGACAGCTGCATTTGATCCTCCACCCCCCGCTCTCTGAAAAGGAAACACCTACCACTGGAAACATACTGATTCCACGTTCAGAAGCAAAAAGGAATGTGAACAGCATGTTGTTTTGAACAACTGCAGGTGCCTTCCTTTCCATTGTGATAATGAAAACCCAACAAACCCAAAATAATTCCAGCATGTCACCTGCAGTGTGAAATTGATGCTTTTTAGACCCTAAGCTTGAGCAGATTTTTCGTAAAAACTTTTATTTACATTCTCATAGAAGTTTGAAACATATGTTCAGGGAAAATATTCCAATTTAGAACCTCAGTCCTGCAGTTCTCCAGCAGGTGCCTGGCACTGCTCTGCATGGCACCCGCGATCCACGTGCCTACTGCTATTGCTCAGCTGGATTTTTCTCTTTGCCTGCCGTTTCAGTGACACGCACCTTCCCTTTAAACATTTCTAGACCATATTTTAATCATACTTGAGAAATAGCTTGGTAATGTGAAAAGCCACCTCTCTGCTGAGCTGTAAACTCTAGTTCACCCTTGTTTCAGGTGCTCTGTCAGCAGTATCCCTAAGTGTGGTCTGTGATTATCATCACATGATAAGTATCTGCAGAAAAACATGCTTGCTTAACTAGAGTGAAAAAGAAGAGGCATTCAGAGCCGTTCACGTACTGTTATTCAGAAGCGTGCCATAAAGCACTGCAGTCCAGACAAGCAAGATTTTGAAAATCCACTAACTCACAAGCCACTGAAGATCAGGAACACCACGCAGAGTCAGAGTGCTGGTTGCTCTGTGCTGTTAGCACTAGTATCGAGCTGGGTGTGCAGAGCTCTCTCTTCACACTGATGCAACCGTGCATACAGTGACAGCAGTGTGAGGATGAGGAAACACCAGCCAGTCAACAAGAAGATCTCAAGTGACTGGTATGATGATTTCTAGGCTGGATGCCAGGAAAAACAGAAGCACCATCCAGCAGCCATTTGCAGGAGCAGCCCCCCCACAAGAGGCTCCCTCAGCACAAGATGGAGACACCTCTGAACTCCTGGGCAAATCTCAACTCACTCGAGCTACAGAGCCCAGGCACCCCACGATGTTTCAGTGTGCACTGAAGCACACTTGTCAACAGAGAACACAAGGGGACAAAGTTTTCATTCCCCAGGAGATGGGGAAGAGTGCAAAGAGACTTCTGCTTGTTTGTTTCTAAAAGGCACTGGCTTCCTTTTCCACTTACGAGACTATTTTTAAAAAGTGCTCAGAACAGCCTTTTTCTCCCACCTAAGCAAAACAGAATTCTCCTTGTGAACTTCATGTGACTTCACTTTCAAACTACCAGGAGAGAAATGACCATAAGAGGTGGCAGCAACAAGAACTCTCCAGAGAACAGGCACAGACTCACTCGTCTACACTTTAGCCTGAAGAGGACCCCAGCAGAGAGCACAACCCATCCCCATGCTGCTCTTTTGATTCTACTGGCATGCCAAACAGGGAATCTGAAGTGGAACAAAAGGTGCTCTTAAACACGGATTAGAGAAAGCTCTTGAACACTTTCCATACTTGGGTGCAGAGAAAGTGATGAGCACTTGACTAATTCCTTCTTGTTTGCTGGCTGGCTGCATAAAGAGGAACTTAAGAATCACGCGAAAGAGACTAAGGAAGCATCAGTAAATAAACAACAGCAGTAAGAAATATTCCTCGTACTCCATGGCACCCCAAAAGGCAGACAGACAAAGCTGCCCTGTGTTCTATGTAAGGTCTCAGGAAGATGAGCAAAGTCACACGCACCACGCTGAACTACAGCTCCAATACCACGTGCACACAACAGTTCACGGCCAAGAGATTTTAAAGACAACTTAGAGCTCAATTTGAGCTGATCTTTGAGCTTGTAGTCCTAGATTTTGCTTCCCTGTAAGTCAGCAAAATACACTACAGAAAAGTCTATTTAGAACAGATTACCACATTAAAAAGATCTATTAGTAGTGATATTTACAGGGTAGCATCCCTTTGCAGATAACTGCAGCCCAGATGCACTGATTTGTTATTTTACTGCCTCTCACTTCACACATCCTATTCAAACAGTCCAATGGCACAAAGCTTTCCTCATAGAGCAGACCAGATGTGAAGGGAACTGCAATCAGCAGCTATCGCAGCACATCAAGGAAAACAAACACTGGGACCAGGCGACAGAGCAAAGGACAGAACAAAAAATCCGACTGAAAGCCAAAAGCACACTCATCCATCGAGCACAACCTTCCAATCCCATTGCTCACAAAGCTTCACTCTGATTTATTTTTAATTGTAGATCAGTTATTCCCCATAATTTCTAAGTTTATGCATACAATCAGGAAAGAAGTATATTACTAGAAACGAGAGTGAAAATCCCTGGTCCTATTAAAGGCTTTCTGCTGCCAGAGCACATCTGCTATAGGGCGATTAGATGTTTAGATAAGATCCTTGGTACTCTAGCACTTCTGAACATTACTGATCTCAACTCAGTCTTATCCACTATCACCCTCATTTTATAGCTTTAGTTTTACTGTGTAACAGCCAACTCAATCTGCTGTAAGATGGTATTTTTCCAGGTAGTCCAGGTGACATCAATTTCCTTACCACAAAGAGCTCTGCGGTTTCTGAGCATTCCTGTAACTCACCAGTGCAAGCGAAGAGCATGGAGAAAAGCAGACAGGCCCTCCATGACCAGGAGAATCGCTACCGTCAAGGTAGCAAAAGCAGCAAATATGAAGAAAAGGCCGAAGCTTCCACCCAGACTCCTCACACTGAGGCCAACGTGGATCACCATGGTCCAGAGCACCTCCGAGAGCTCTGCCAGGAGAAGGGAGAGGAGAGGACTTTCAGAGCATTCAACAAGGTCACGGTTTATTTACATAACAAAAAAATGAAGTCAAGCAAATTCCCATCATGACAAGGTGGGAAAATTCAGAGGAACAACCGTTTTTGCAGGCAAGTAAACCAAGATGTTGCCCCCAGCTGTTGCAAGCAGTGCAGGGCAGACCACCTGCACAGCTGATTTTTGCTTTATTCAGGGTTTTAATTTCCATCCATCCCTGACAACTTCTAGCAGAGTGCTATGCAAGCAGATATTGGTGTTTAGACTTGAACATCACCATCTAACACACAAACACAGCTCTGTCCTAAAGCAGCAGTGCTTGACACTGCCGGAGAGAGCTCTGGTGAAGCTGCTTGCATTCCTGTCTTTGGTCCAGGTTGCTTGTGACACTGATCCAACCTTCTGCTCCAGAAAAAGAGTACTCACGTGCGTGGGCTAAGCTGAGAGCCCAGAGTCTCAAGTAGGACGCAGTGTTTGAGATGCACCCCAAGCAATACTCAATGGTGTGGATTGCCTGGTACACCACCGTGTCGGCAAAGTCGAACTGCAAAGCAAACACAGAAAATTACCAAAGCTGCAAGACTTGGAAACATGAGAAAGTGGCTGGCTGGGGAAAATGAGCACACTACCTGGTGCTATTACCAAGGACAGCGTGTTTGAAGTTAGACACTGATACTGTCTTCTCCTGGTTTAGCATGTCAGTTTTATAAATTAAAAATGAATTCTCTTGTCTTAGTAGGTTTTGCAGAGTAATAGCTCACTGCTTGAATATTATTGCTTTCGTGCTCTATCGTATGAAAGCAAGACACTGTAAATTCAGCCATGGACTTTGCCAGGAAAAGACTGTTCAGCAACAATATGGTATTCATATGAATTCACTGGTAAACTGCACGGACTTCTACAAAAAAGGAGACAGGATTCCAAGTCGATACTGTGCATGTACCTTTGCTACAGGATCAACAAAAGCATTTTACAAGATGGGAACTTTCCCTCTTTGAAAGCAAAAAGAGGGCACAAAACAGTCTAGAAAAAGTCATGTGTGCACAATTCTTTGGCAAAGTCTTTTTTTTTTTATAATAAATAAAGAACTCAAGAAAATCTGCCATGAAGGGCAGTTTTTTACTGTGCAGCTTGGGAAAGCATTCCCTACATTCTGGATTTAATCCATGCTTCAGAAACTGCTCATATTTAAGTTAAGTCAACGTGATACTTTAAAGACATCGAGTGACTAGTGTTCTAGGCATGCAGAGCAAGCTATTTATATTCTTATTTCTCCCTTGGTACATCCAGAGCAATAAATACTTCAAACAACGAAGTTAAATTAGCTGTCAAAAGCCTAATTTCTTCTCCACAGAACGTGAACTGCGAAGTTCTTTAATAAAGACTGCCCTAGCAAACAGTACCACCTCCCAGCACAGATGGCACGTCAGCGTGCAATAAGTGGAACGTGACAAATATTTAAACAATGACAATTTACAGCCACATGCAACTGCTGGAGTCACCGCTATGGAGAGAGTCTCCACTATGCTAAGGAGCAGAAGAATCAGCAGGATTGCTTTGGCAGGGCATTGGCAGTTCTACACATTTTTCACAGGGTTACTGATATACAGAGTTAACAGTACAGCAGCGTGCTGATCCCCTCCACCCCACCAATTCCACACGGACCCAGACATAATAGGACCACTTTCCACATAACAGAACCACTTTTAGTGTAATTTATGACCTCGTTGTTGCAAAGCTACTCTAATTTCATGGCATTTATGCTTTTATTTTGTAAAATAAATAAATAAGCGGTTACCTGATAGCCTGAAACCTACAATCAATTCAGCATGAGAGTTCCTAAAAACCACTTCTTTAATACTCATTCTTGTTACAAGTGTTTATGAATGAGCAGTTTCTCAAAACAGAGCCTCTCTTCTACAGCAAGGTCCTGGCTGGGTAAGTTGTTGAGCTGTATGAAACCAGACTGCTTTTGCTGTATTTACTCACTGGCAACAACTGATATCATCCTTAAAATTAAAGTCAGTTTGGGAAAAAACATTTCAAGATGGTGTTCGTTGCAGTGCAGAGTTACCAACGACATAACATAAGGCAAACGAGACTTAAACTTTAGAAGCAAAATCTTTTCCATTTCAGACCTCTGGCTCAGCGGCTTTTCAGGTCAACTAAGAGAAGATCTGCAGACAGGGGATAAGACACAAGCTAAATAGATGACGTAATTAAAGGTCTGTTAATGGGTATGACGTTGAATGAAGAATTAAAAATGGCCTGTAATACGTAAACAGCTAGATCTTTTGGAAGATGCCATGACATAACATGTTTAATTCGGTGTGTGGTTTACGCCAATGGGAAACATTCCAGATACACATGAATGCAAAGCTGGCTGTAGTCTTACCACCTCATCCTCTGTAGGCTTGAAAACACAAGTTTACATTTAGTGAGGTGTCTCAATCACATTAATCACGAGCACATTCAATAATTCCCTCCTAAGCATGACCCAGTAAAGCAGTTACACACTACATGCACTATGGAAGCAAGGTAATGCTGGAGAACTGTTAAGAGGAATCAAAAAACTCCCAAATTAAGAGACTGTCTCCTTTTTCTCCTCTATCAGAAGTAAAGCAAAGCAGCTAAAGTAACCCCCACCAGTGAAAATGAACGTAAACTGAGATCTCACTATTGCAGAAACACAGCCCTTGGCCTTTGGCTAACTGGAGCAGCAAGCAGCACAAATGCACTGCACTTCAGCCAGAGACAAGCTGAATATACCATCTGGGAGCACTCTGCAGCTCTGTGTAGCCTCTAAGGTGATGGTTCCTTGTAAGGAGGACAAACAAAGCCACTTTTCCCTTTATCTGCAAATTATGCTGCCTTTTTTTAAATTTTTTTTATTTTTCCAGAACTCCTGGGAACGACCAAAAGATGGTCCGTGGTACTTTACTGCTATGAAAAAACTTTACTGAAAATGTTGCTATTTAAACAGCTTGGAAATCAGTAAATGTAGTCCAAAAAGCTAGCACATTCTGCTACCAACTTCATTGCCCTCAGACAGAGGCTGGCCAGGTTCTTACCTCTTCCCCCTCCTCAGAGTGGGTAGATAGCTGGTCATGTTGAATGATCTCAGCATCCTCCTCAGTTGGTCCATTGCCCACCCGGATCCCACCAAAGTTGTGTGTCCCCTAATACATGCAGAAAAAGAAAGAACAAAGCGTTGTTGGTGCTTTATTACAGGAGTGGGTGCTTCTTACGACTCCAAGTGCAGCAGCAGTAGCTCACAGAAGAAGACAAGACATTAAGGCCCGGGTTAAACCAGCTGTACAATTCTGTTTCCCAGCTTGGATGGGAAAGATGCTGATTCCTGCTAGGGTTGGGAGACAAAAAAAAGTCTTCCTGCATGAATATTTGATACATTTCTCTAAAGTAATTGCAATCCCAATAAAAGCCACATCTCTCACAAGAACATTTGCTATAACTGATGTGCAACAGACCAACGTTTTGCCCAGCAGCTGTTGAACAAGCACTCAGAAGGACTGAAGCACCACTGCTGGAAGTGAAACAAGTCGCACAGTGGCACCTCAGAGCAGGACTGACTGACACAGATCTGTGCACACACACACTCGCTCCCCACCAGTGCCAGGCATCCCGACACACGTGGGAAATCAGACGTTCCCTTACTTGGAAATTCGGTGTTGTGCAAGCAGTTCCTTTTATAGGCATTGGTTCTGACACTCAGCGTCTGACGCTCATAAATCTACTGCTCTCTGAATAGGAAAGAATAATCCGCAAAGCAAGTTGAAACTTTCCTCTGATAGGATCACTTGATGACTGCACTCCTTGCACAGTTACGGCAGGCTTCCTCCTCCATGCTGTCTCACCACCACCAAGAAAGGGCGCAGAGAATTGTTCAACATCTGACAGTGACCTCGAGCAGAGCTTTGATGTGTTGTAAATGCGCATTAGACAATGAAGGCCTAACTTGCAGATCTCTAGTTTTGGATTTCTCTTCAGCAAGCACCTACGGGCACTGTACAGCAGGATTTCTACTTCCTTCCAGATGTTCCAAAGACAGAAAACGCTCGTGTCTGACCTGAGGGACTGTACACAAAGACCTCTGAGCCTGGCCCACCTAAAGAGGTGGACTGAAATGCCACAAATGGAAATAAAAGCACTGCGTTCAGCTTTAGAACTGTACCAGGGTCATTTGTAACACGGAATGTAAACAGGCTAACTAGCAACATTAATACTCTAGAAGTTTAGGGATGACAACACAAACCGAGGAGGCTTAAGATTCCGTGGCTTTCACAGCTCATCGCTCTGGCATACGTGTACGAGCAGAACAGTCTCTCAGTGCTCTTTCAACCAATTTGTTCTTAGAAGCCTACTTTTACTTTATGCCAGATTATAAATTTGCTAAAACTACCAGACACAAATTAAAGATTTTCTCAAGTTGTTTCCAAAGACAAATTAGGTAGCTGTTTTTGCTTTGAAAATAGAAATAAGATGAAAAAGTTAGAATACATAAGACAATGCTTTGAGTTTTCAGCACTGAAACACTAAGTTACTGTTGAATAGTATCAGCACTCCATTTCTACACTCCTAGCCTGGAAGAATTTGTACTTTTGCAGCTTTTCCCTCACACCCAACTTGCATCTGTTCTCTGTAGAGTCCAAACTAAACACAGCTCCAACCATTTCCTTTATACTCCAGCCACACCTCACCCAGAGATCTTCACTCACAGCTTCTTTTACTAAGAGGCACTCAGTATGTGGGATGGATTATGCACAAAAAAATCTATTGTTATTTCTGACGTTTCTGTGAGGCTACTGAAAATTTCATGATTGAAACATAGGCCAACAGCTACGAAGTTATCCTCAAAGCATCTTTAGCACGTAAAGCACACAATTTGTTTCACTGTTCATGAGATTTAAGCTTCCTAGTTAGGCAGCATTCATAACTAAAACCAATTTGGAATATGCAGTACAGAAAAAGAGACAGAAGTTCTAGGAGCTGCTGTAATCTTCATTCCACCAGAAAGCTTTCACATGGAAGGGCTGGCTACAGGTTTGGACACAAATAAGCAGAAATAACTGCTTATTTCTGCTTAACCATTTTATGGTAGTTTTCAAGTCCAAGTGTCTACAAGGGCACAGATGTTAAAAATCCAGCAAGTACTGGTATGAACTTGCTGGGAGGCCATCACATAAACACGATGTTTGGGAACACACAATGCAAACAAAAACGCTTCACTGAGAAGAATCCTAATCTAGCTTAAACAAATATGCAAGAAAAGGAAAAAAGGGGAACTTAACCTGGGGGGATGTGGTAGCAAGGTATTCTTGTGCTGCTCTGCAGGTTTTGATTTCAGCAGCACTCCTGCAAAGCGTCTCTGCATTCTGTGCATATGGAACTATTGTCCACCAGCCTGGGAGTTCTTCCAGAATGTATCAGTTATGCTGAACTTTGCTCTTTCCAAGACAAAGTGTCCAAGACAAAGTGTCTTTCACCCTAAAGGTGCAGTTGTCATTCACTTATGAAATTCAGATACATTCCATGCTCTCTTGATAATTAGATATAAATCCATCACGTGATTTTTTAAATCCACTCACTGTTGCAGCCGCTGCTGCCTCTAGTGCCTGCTCGTTCGGGACTGTGCTGACTTGGGCCTCCACGGGCTGCCCTTCCTGATAGTGAATGGAAGAAAAGAAAGGGAGGAGGAAGAAAACAAAAAGAGAAAGGGAGACGAATGGAGGGGACATGGGAGGATGAAAGATGGTCAGAGAAGGGAGAGGGAGTGTCTTTAACTGAACTGATCTTTGACTCACTTAACATCCTAAAAGCTGTCTGCCATACATGCAGGGAAAATTTTCAAGTATCCCCAGTGCACATGTGCCAGGTCCCTGCACTTTATATAAAGATACTTTACAGCACAGGTGGAAACCTACGGAGTACCCCAGGAGATAACCTCTCATGTAAAAGTGAAAAAAACAGAGTTCTGCAATCACCGTTACTTTTAACCATCCAAACTGCTTTAAGAAATATGGCCATTTAGGTTGTCAGCCATGAAGTTTACTTTGTTTTTAAACTGTCATCCTAGCAAAAGCACAGAAATGCATCCAGCAACCAATAAAACTGTTCCCAAACCAGCTGACAATGCTCAAAGCAGTCATATTGCTTTTGTCATTACCAACAGGTAGGGTTTTTAAAAGTCGACTTGATGCTGGATCCAGATCTGCTAAGCAGGCAGGCAATACCTCATCTGCAGTAAAACCCAGCGGCCTCTCTGACTAGGAATATGCAAAGAGGCTTTACAGGTCACAGGGCAGCATGAACTCATGTATCCAGGTGGAGAACAAAGCTTTTCAACCGTAATAAGTTCTCATATTGAAAATATACAAGGTAGTCACCCACCAAGTGCTTTCTCCTTAAATACTGATGGCGAAGGACCAGAGGTTTAGCTACCAGCATCCACGGCACGCACAGTAACGCCACCACCACGAGGAAACACTGGAGCCCTTGCTGTAACAGAAACAAGTCTCAGATGATTTAGTGGCAGTCCACACAAAAAAACAAAAAAAAACAACCTTTCTAGAGGTCTCACATGACACTGAACGACTGAATTCCCAGAGCATGTGGATGCTTCACACACTCTCTCCCCCCCCCAGGAACAGGAACATGAGCTGTACTTGATAAATGACTACAACTTGCCTGACTGTACACGTGCTGTGTACACTGATAGTGGTTTAGATTCGGGAAAAATACAAAGGATTCTGCAGGGAATGACAACTTGGCAGATATCCGAGTGCTGTGGGGAAATCGCATAAGCACCTTAGCTAAGCTTCAAGGCACTGCACTGCAGATGCAGGGCAATATTTCTAATGACTTTTCACTATTAATCTGGATCCAAATATGCTGGGGGCACAGCTGACTTATGTTCAGTCTGATATAAATTCTCTGCAAAGGAATTATTCCTTCTTTCTTCAAGATTACATAGTGTCAGGCTTTGGAAATGATGCTACATTTCTTCTCTCTCAGAGAGAAACTGTTTAATGCCTGATTTTACAATTAGTACAAGGTTATATTAGAAAGATTAATATCATGAATCATCCGTGATCTTACTATTCTAGCAAGAGCACGCACCTGCCCTTTGTAAAGCATCTTGTTACTGGTATCGCCATAGGAGAACAGAAACATATTGATAAAATGTATTAAAAGGCTTGGTGCATCCTTTGATGTGTGAGCATCGTAGGCTGTCCATTTGTAGAAAATGAGAATAACAAGGTATCCAAACAGTGAGGACATGAAAATAATTTCTGGAATAAATCCAAGGTATATGTTCAGTGGCTTCTTAAAATATCTACAGAAAAAAAAAAAGGAGAGTTTGAAATTATATTTAGTTCACATTAGGCATATGTAGGGCAAAAAACTTTTTAAGAGAAAGGGAAAAGCACCTCTGGAACAAAACTGCAGAGGATACACACTTCTATAACAGTTAGGACTTAACACAGTCAGCTACTTAACATGCATGGTGATATGTACACAGAAATAACTGTATTATGCCTTTCAGTTAAAGTCTGATAGACTCCTGCATCTTAAACAGATACACACATTATACCCGGAGAAGTTTTCGTCCCTCCCCCATCAAGGAAGCAGAACAAAGCACTTACATGTGGTTGAGAAGACTCAGCGTGACACCAAAGAGCATGTGGATAATGCCAAGAATCACAGACATTTTCATCTTAAATGAATTGAGGAAGGCCAGCTTATTGGTGGCGATATTCCAGATCTGTGAAAAAACACCATTAAGTCAGCCAAGCACTGAGTAAAAGGAAAACAGAGAAGAATGAAAGTGTTCTCTCTAAGCTAAACAGTATTAACCATCCAGAAAGTATCAGGCTCTAAGGGCAAGGTTCTATTTGTTTGGTTTTTAACAAAGATGTTTGTCATGCAGATACCTATTCAGGAAACAAGCAGACAATCTTCCTGATAAGAGCACTTAAAGGAACTGATCCCACTATCAGAGCAGGAATCAAACCTTGCTTATTTTTATGGTAGGCAAAAGTTGCAGGAAAAGAGTACAGAGGCTATTACCTTGACAGAAAAAAAAAATGTTTATCCATTTCAGCGAGCAATTAGACATTGAAGTTCTGATTTTCTGCACTTCCTCTTTGATGTGGAACACACAAAATTATTGTCAAATATTTTAAGTACAAGGAGCAGCACTATTGATATAAGCAGCTACAAAACGTCAGGATTACTCAGAAACTTACATTTCCAAGACTGATTGGAAAGACAGATAACTAACTTTTTCCAAAGTGGAAAAAAAGAAAAAGTAATTTCGTAAAATGATTTCTATGTCTCACGCCAGATTTGATTAAAAAGCTGTAGGTTAGAAAGGATGAGAAAGAAGCCTTTTGTGGCCCCAAGTCTTTCTATCCTCCATTTAGCGCCTCTTAGGAACATTTTCATCATTCAGGACTGTTTCCAGCACTGATAAGGACTGCTAATGGAATGGCTAGGAGGGGGAGATCTTTCACAGTGAACTGGACATTTTTCTGTTTACACAAGATGTTCATAAAGGACAGCATAGGAAGGAAGGGCTCTTACTGGGTCAATGCCAAAGGGATACGGACCACCAAACACCCCTGGAATAGCAGGGTTCAGCTGAAGCAGAGGAGTAGTCTCCAGCAGAGCATCTCTGTTTGGGTATAAGTAGATTATATAAACATTAGCACAAGCAATGCTGACCTCTTTTTAAAAGTAATAGCATCCTTCCCTTGTGAGAGCAAGAAATAGCTCAGATTGAGAGAACTTTAAGGTTCCCATGCGGCCCTAGAGATTTGCCAAATGAGTAACAAATCTGTCTCCTGACCTGTTATTCAGTGCCACAAGGAAAAAAGATTCAGGGGACAGGAATCTTGCCTGAATCTAGTGAATCTATGAGAAGAGCACTGTTAAAGTGCTTCTGTATTAATTCTCTGAAAACAAGCTGGTTTGAAACTTGTTGGGCATTACATTTACACCCTCTCTTTCAATTCTACTCGAGCCTGAGTTCAGAATTTTTTGTTTTACTGACATGGGAGGATGATGGATAACGTCACCTACTTGACACTATCACTTGTTAGTTATGTAATTACCAACTATTTACTCACGACCAATTGCCTTTTGTGAACATCGGCCGAACGCTCCATGATGAGCCGAACATATTAAGAGACTTGGAGAAGCAGTCGTTATAGATGAGGCCCGTGTAGGTGGAGAACAGTCCCATCAGTAGAATGATGTATCGGCCGCTAAAAACAGTGTTGAACATCTGACATAAAAAAAAGAGAAAAGAAGGTCCATGAGAACAAGGGAAGTCTCTCGTATGGACAAAGCAGTAACATCAGTCAGTTGCAGAACAAGCAACACTGGCCATATGGACTAAAACCCCAGTCTTTATTCCCACGTGGCGGGGATTAAGGGTGCAAGAGGTAACGCTGCAAGAACAGAACCCAAACACGGGATAAGTTGGTGGTGTGACTGCGTGTAAAGAATCTGGAATTAGATGAAGAGGATAAATTGCACTCCACCCAGTGATGCAACCCCCCAGCTGGCAGCATTGCTTTGGAACTAAGCAGTGCTGACCCCAGTCCAGCTTTCTCCATGCTCTGTCAATGCACCTGCACTCTGATTTGCTTCCTGTCAGCCTAAGCCTAGACCAGTAAAAGGAAGAATCATGTAGATACACATGCTTGGGTGCACACAGACACCAGGAATTTTCCAGTGACTGAATCCCTTCATAACCCAACCAGGTTCTGGGGTGATCCATTTACAACTGCTTAGCTGTCCAGCTGCACTTGATAAACAATTTCCTTTAAACATCTGAAAGGAATAATTTCCTCCAATCATCTGAAAGGAAAATCACAGGATGATGCTACTCAGTCTGTGGTCTACAGACTTGTCAGTCTGCTTGTGTGCTTCACAAATTTCAAATGCAAGGAGTAACAGGTATTTTCAACTGAAGAGGGGGAAGATGCAAGTAAATCAAGTTGCAACTCTGCTTTAGATGCAAAGCCAAGCATGCCCCGTCTCTTTACCTCATTGTCACTTTTCTGTGACAGAATACGACTTTCCCTGAACACCATCCAGACAGCAATCAGAGTCATCAGGATTCCATGGCCAAAATCTCCAAACATCACAGCAAACAGAAACGGGAAGGTAATGATTGTGTACGGCGCTGTAGGAGAAAAATGACATTCCTAATGCACTGCATCTGAGTAAGCCCAGCCTTACTACAGTACAATTTACATGCAATACAACTCCCAGGGATGTTCCCTGCTTCTGACTGGAGTTAAGTTCACTAATAGAAATTTTCACACAGGACAGTCAACATTGAGAAATGCTACAACTAAAAGAAGTTACATTTATAAGTATGGATTTACCTGGATTTATTTCCCGATAAGTTCCAATGCCATAAGCATCAACAATGTTTTGAAAGCCACAAGTAAACTTGTTAGTTTTGTTGTATGTTGGTGGGGTCTGATTAGTTTGCATCCTATTTAAAATGGATGGGACAGTGGATCCACTGTGCTCCTGTTTTTAAAAAAATAAAAAATCAGGACTAGAAAACATCCTCAGAGTAAGGGAGGACAGAGTAAAACATTACTTTCTTGTTAGTATTTGTTAAACTGCAAGCTTGCATTTTTATAGCCCGCTTGTGTAATGAAGAAGTATACTTGAGCAGCTGAAGAAGGCTGCCAAGACTCCTCCGCTCTCCACTTCATATTTCAGGAGGAGAAACACTTTCAGTATGGAGGAGCATTTTATTCCACTATTTTCTAAAACAGCAAATGAAAAGACACCTGATTTTTTGTTATCTACCTGAGCAAAAGGCAAGCTTGCTAATGTCCTGGATAGCTCCCTTCAGGAAGCTGCACTGTATATAGAAACAGCAGGACTACAACGCACAGTTATGTTAACCAAACAGCTCCAACACGGAAAAACACCTGATCACAGCATTTTCCTTAACTTCAAGGCTTACACAACGTATTTATAAGGTACACAGCATTATAGCTATAAGCCATGACTCCTGCATGTTAAATAAGCTGTCCTCTGTGAGGACTGACTCAAACAGCCCAAAGGGATGGTTTCCAGAAAAATCAATTAATCCATGTTGCATTTGCTGACAGTTGATAGTTTGCTTGAACAGAAGCAGATAGCAGCAGTGCAGCAGATACTCACAGTGCCTCTCCTGAGAGCAAACTGGATAGAATCGAGGTCAGCAACAGGACACCAGACTTCAGCAATCAAGCACTTCTGTGTCACATCGATATTGCACAGGTTCAGGGTATGGTAAATGGCCTTCATCTTGCGTACTTTGATGAACCAGACACGGATATTTTTAGCAGCTGCCTGCAGAACCCTTTGGCGATGATCCTCTGTTTGGTTCAGCACCTTTCATAGAGAAGTGGGACAAAAATGAGACAAGATCAGTAGTCAAAACCCACAGCACACAGAAGTGCAGTGAAGTAGGGCTTACCCACCAGAGGACGGATGCCTGAGCCCTGACCCCCATCCCACGCACAAGACTGCCACATGTCTGCAGTGTATGCTTTACTCTCCATATTAATATGTTCTGCTAAAAGATTTTAGGGCTTCCTTCCAGGTATAGCCTTTGAATACTTTCCTCCTCCAACTCCAAGTCATTGGTTACTTCAAACAATGAACTCTTTTGTGATCAAAATTTTTTCCTCCACCCAGGTTAAAAGAGCAGAGAAGAGTTCTACAAGTGAGGTGTACACTGCCTTAAGAAAACAGAAAAACACTACAACAGACTTTAAAAAAAATGGAAAGGAGAAAGTGTTTTCTACTAAGGGTGTTTTCCAACTGGAACAAGTCTAACTCAGGCCAAGTCAGACTCCCAGCCTGGAAAGTCTGATACTCAAGGGAAAGTGAGGACACGGGGCACAGCTATCACATGCAGCTTTGCATTCTGACAGTCAAATTGCTTCTGCATTCTTTAGAATTACGAAACAGCTGCACCACACAACTTCCAGCTTGAGAGAGGTTCTGTATAAGATAAGGTGGTCAAATTAATTTCTTCTTCTAGCTCCTGAACTTGTTCCTTATTTTCATCTTGGATCCCTTACATTTTTCTGCATTATGACATACTGCCTTTCTTCCTTGAAGCAAGCATCAAATATTTCAGAGCTGGCACCCAGTAGTTTTTTGTGCTCATTGCTTTTTATCAACATTCAGGCACAAGAGCTTAGTTTCAAGGCAGAAGCTCTTCAGGACAACACAACATGAAAATATGAAGACAGGCAGGAAAAATAGCTAAGTTAAAATTACTTCCAAGTTGAGATAACAATACTAAGTCTGAATTTATTTTAACTAAGTTCTTGCAGATGAAACAGACAATTACACAAACATATTTTCAGAATTGGAAGCATGGTATCTTCTTACACGTGAATATTCTTCTCTGCTCCCTGGCACACAGCTCTATATTAACACTGTTTTTACATGTATATAATTAACTACTCAGCCCTCTGGAAAGTTCAAACCACCTCACCACCCTAAGTGCTGAAAAACAAAACAGCAGAACAGAAAGCCTCCAAACACCTTTCATGCACTGCTGAGCTGCTGGTCTCAAGCTAGCCTCCACTGAAAATATGGTGACCTAATAGGGCCAACATTTCTCCTGTTTTAATAGGATCCACAGAGTAATCCAAATACCAATTAACAAACAAAAAAGCATTGACCCGATTTTGTTTTACCATCTGAAGATCATCAATTCTGGTATTGACACCAGAAGCCATTTCCTTCCGCTCCTGTGGTGTTTCTGGACACGGGTAGAGGGAGGCACGGAATCTGAAATACATGCAAGTCTCCTTAGTAACAAATATGGAAGGAATAAACCAGTCAGGGAAACAGATGGCTGAGACTGAACACAGAAATAAAGCAAGAAGCACCTTTAAAGCAGTTTCTGTTCAGCAAACCTGCCAAGCAGTTTCAGTTGCTAAATCAAATGGGTGCAGAAGTTTGTTTAAGGCCAAAACAGAAGCTAAATGTTTAGAAAAAAATGAAGCAGAAGAAATTCCTCTGTTCCCTGCACTGACGGCACTTCAAAGGCACTGTTGTGCAGCTGATTAGCCATCCCAGGTCAGGGTGCTGTTATCACGCCAATGCAGCAGCTGCCAGATGTAGTTATTGTTGGTCTCCCCCATGACAATACTGCCGGCTGACATCCCGACAGGTCTGAATTCAACATTTACTTTGCTGTTTAAGGTATTCTCAAACAAAAAGCAGTCACCTATGTTGAGCATTATAGGCTTAGGGAGTAGCCAGTTTGACTGTAAAACATGATTCACCTGGTTACTGGAGGATTTATTTGCTGTCAAACTACAGTCATCACGAAACTAGTAGCTGAAAACTACGGACATTAAGCTACTTCAGTGTATTTCAAATGCTCAAGTGAGTTCCTTTACAGGTACTGTACACAGGGAGATGCCTAGCTGTAAGACTTTCAAGTAACTTGCATACCCTTCACATATCTTCTTGACTCTGTTCTTTAACTGGTCACCTTGGAAAAAGATGATGAACACAGACTTGTGCACATAATCCCCCTAGAAAAGAAGAAAGGGTGTGTTGTAATAGCCCAGCTGTCTGCAGAAATCAGCATTACAGCAAATTACAACAGAGTTCTACTTTCTCTTTGCTGAAGCCTGTACGTATAGGGTTCATATTTGCATAGCAAGTCAAGAATGCACCTTTACACTCAGTCACAAGAAAAGCACTTTCCTTAGACACAGTATAGGACGCTAACGCTGGACTCATGTTTACTGAACTAAAATTCTAGATCATCCTAATACCTATTCTATGGCAAACAACAGACATGAAAATCTGAAAAAAATTGTCATAAGAACAGAGATGCAATGAAATATATATCTCATCACTAACTGAAGGCAGCCCGCCTACAGAATCAAGCAAAAAGCTGAAGAGTGAATTAAAGTACGATGGAATTTAGCAACTTTGATTCTCAGGGGAGGCCAACAGCACATTCTTTGTACAGCTGTTTTCATGCTGGTAGCTAGTTCTCCTTTCCTGCATTTGTTGATAAGTTATTGTTCTACCTTACTTAGGAAACCTTACCATAATGTTTCAAGAATAATTACATTAGGTGTAACCTCAGTTTAAGGAAGTGTTGCACAATAAGAACAAAGTGTCTCCATGCTGACAGATAATTCAACAGGTCAACTACCAGTGGCTGGTGGGACAAGAGAACAAGTCAGCCTTCTGAGAAAGAAGCAGTCACTGCCTTTCAACATGGCTATTTTTTTGTTCCAGTGCAGCTTACATACAGCCCTTCTTTTCACACGTTAAGATCAGCAGTTCCAAAAACTTGGGCGTTGTCCACTGACTTGAGCAAAGAGGACATCGTACGTAAAACCAGGCCCGATCACAACATCTACTGTTTATATTCATAATAAAGCCAGAAATTCTCAAGTGGACATTTAGATTTCTGGGTAACAAATTAAGAAAAAGTGAAAAGTTCAAGCTCAGACTAAGTGAGCTACTGGTGTCACGCTGATGTCCACAGAAGCCTCTCTTTCGAGGAGGTTTAACTCTTATTCAGAACCGCACAAAGGAGTTGTGTTTGCACATTTTTTGCCAGAGAAGCAGCTATGCCGTGCTGCAGTCCAAATTCAGAGTTGTATTTCCCCTTTTGATAGCATCCGTTACCCATCTCACTTTTTTTAAAAAAAAGAGCAGAAAAATATTGGCCTTTAGAGCCTCAGGCGCTGCACACTGGTACTGTGAAGAGATGCAACTCCAATGTTTGCCTGCATGGAGCTCATGGAAGGATACAGGCTTAGATCTATACAGCAGATCCTTTCATGAATCGGAGACTTGCTGCTGTAAATGATGGTTTCCTTTACCGTTACAGGATCCTCCAGGGGGTTTTCAATCTCTGCCTGACGCAGGAACACATTCCCTCGGCACACTCGCCACAGCATGCGCTCAAACATGGGGATTCGCTCACGGTTGATCACACCAGCCACAAACCTGCAGAGGAGACAGTACGAGCGTGAGCTCTGCACCTACAAGGATACACAGCCCAGCACCCAAAGCACTGACACCAGCTGGAGTTTAGCATCAGGTTGAAAACAACAAAAACCTTGCTTTGAAACGAGTTCCTTACACAAAATAAAAACTTCTCTACATACACAGAGATAAAACTACAACAAAAACAATGGCACTATACCAAAAGCTAGGACTTTTAACAGAAAATTGTCTACCAAAAAAAAAAAAAGGAGAAGAAAAACGTATTTAGACATACAGTTTCTATACCTGCTACTGTTTGTTTCAACAGGCTCATGGTACGTTACACACCAAGCATTTAGCAGTCAAGGCTACCACTGACTATGTTCTAGGCAGATGCTCCAGGAGACCTCACTGACTCAAATGCCTACATCCAGACAAAGAATTACACACGTATGGATACAGCCTGGAAGCAGTTAGTACAGAAGATACAGAACTATACAGATTTTTCAGAGCATTAGGTGCTCACAGTTACTGGTTTCAACAAAGTTGAGAGAGCTCGGTGTCTGAAAAAGCAAACAGAACAGATTTATAAAGAATAAACTAGTACATTTTTTGTGTGTAGAGAGAAACGTGCAAAGCACAAAAGTGAACTGGAAAGTTGATGCGCATGGGACAAGAATGGAAACCAACAGCTAGATTTAGATCAGCTTTGAGCTGCTTCAAGTGCCAGTTCTGCAACAATTGTGCTCAAATCACCACGGACTCCATATAAATGATAAACATAAGCCAGCAACCCTAACGCAAGACAGACAAAAGCACAAACTGCCATTACCCAAGCCGTAGTGGGGCACCTCTTCCCATCTCGCTTGGCTCCAGGAGTGAAGAGGATTCCTCCAACAGGTCTGGATCCGCCATCTGCTGATGATGCAATTCAGCCTGAATTCACAAATCAATTAATATCTAATGAAACTAGTTAGTGGCATGCAGGGAACGAGGAACCAGGAGATAGTTGGGGGAGACAAGAAAAGAAAAAAAAAGAAAGAACATAAAACAGCGGAAAGAGGAACCAGATGATAGAAAAGACAGCAAGAATCACACAAGGAGGAAAAAAACAAGAGGGAAAGTGGAATGGCTCAAAGCTCCCACATAAGAATAGCCCAAAGTTTGCTGCAACAGAACAGAGGGGCTGTGGGATATATAAGTCTGAAGAAAGGCAGAATTCCAAGAAATTTATCCAGTTTTAAATACAAGTGATGTTCCCAAGAACCATTTTTAACAGCACAAAACTGTGACACACCTTACTCATATCTTCCCCTAGATCTTAAACGGAAAATAAAGTGAAAGCAGAGGCTGATTCACTCTTGCCCTATTTGTGCATTTTCTGCATATTAATGAAGATGCAGAAGGCATTTCTAAGAGGTGCCTGTGAAATTACACATGTAAAATACTCTGGTGCAGACAGAAGAGTGCTGTGCAGGTTAAGTCTTCGACAGACAGTTTAACTGACCTTATAACTTCACAAGATTGTAACCCTACAACCCAGCTCTGTGAGATCTGCACATCCTCTACATCAGGCTTCTGCCATACTTCAAAGACAAAGCAATACCCTACTCCTCTTGGAATTAGGTGACAACGGTTTGATTAATTCCATGGTACTTTGCTACATCAGCATGGCTACAGTCAGAATAAGCAACAAAATCCAGAAGGAATGGATATAAAATCTCTTCACTGACTGTAAAAAAAGCTCTCCCTCCAGGAAAACCACAGTACTTCCAGCTTAAGGGCACGCTTGCTGCTTAAATCCATTTATTCTGCATTTATTCTCCTATTCACTGTTTATTCTTGCCAGTTGCATACGATGTATTGCTTAAGGCTGTCTGACAAGGTTACTTAATTTCTGACTAGCTAGGCATTAAAACATGAAGCAGCGTATACAGTCCTTTACTGCAGCTGATTTGCAGTCTGAAATTCTTGGGAATACAGCTTGTAAGCATCAGCAATTTGAGTCAGGAAGGATGCTCAAATGACATCCTCTTGGGCACCATCCTCAAACTTCATTCACAACCCAGTGTCAGTTATTTCTACCTCTGCAGCTTATATAATGAAACAAAGAGATTGACAGAGCTCTTTAGCACAAGCAAAGGGCCAAATTCTACCCTCTGTGGTACACAGGAGGCTGTCCCCCACTGTGCTGTCAGGGAACTTGCTACAATACATTGGAAGGTAGAGTTTGACTGCACAACATGTAAAATGCATGCACGCAAGCAACGCAGCCTTGCAAAAGTAAATGGCAAGTGTAACAACCCAGCCATGATTTCTTTATTCTCACAATGGTTGTGTTAATATTTTTAGTGACAACTCTGCACCATTTTACTGGCATGCCAAATAAAAGTGTTTCTTATAGGGAAGATTTTTTTTTTTTGCAAGGCTGACATAAAATCCAGCTCAATTTTTTTGTCCACACATTTGCTTTAGCTTATGGATGTTACAAAAATAAGGGGGGCTCTTAATTTACGTTGGAAAGACAACAAGTTCTGGTCCTTTCCACCTTAAGCCAACTTGTTGCAATATCAAGTGAACAGAATCAAAATTTTGTTTCACAGAGAACACAGCAAAACAAGTTTGGTACCCCAAAACATACACACCAAACACGCCAGTGATTATTTAAGATTCAAGATGTTGAAAAACAACAAGACCATTAAAGTTTTAAGAGGCTTGTATTGCATTTATCAGGAAGCAAGGTTCTTTCTGATAATTTTTACGAAGCAAATGTTAGAGTAGTTGAAGCACAGCTTCTAATCACCACATTTTAGCATATAAAACATAAAAAGGTTAGCACATGAAAACTTTGGATCCACCTCACTTGAGAGTAGCTCTTACAAGTGTTTGATGGTACCTCTGACCCTCTTGGGGCTGTGTGTCCTTTGTTTGGGACACCATGTAAAGCAAAAAGCCCCACTTAGAGGAGTTGAAATTACAAAACACCTTAGAAAAAAATCTAGCTAGACTCATTTTACTAACAAAGAATTCAATACAGAAAAATTATTTGTGTAAAAATAACAACAACAGCATGTTCTCTAAATTCATCTCTCAATCACTTTGATTTTATGATCACGCCCTTTCTAGAAAGGAAATGGCTTAGGAACATCAGCTCAGCTCTGGAAGGATATGTGCAGTGTTAGAAGATTTAATAGAAATAAAAAAAAAAGACTAAGGGAATGAAAGTGCTGTTCATTTACAATGCAGAAAGACAAGACTCTAGAAAATTACTTTGAATAAGTATTTTCCCTAGTAGTTAGTATAACATCATAAAATTATTGTGAAGTTGTTTTTTTTTGTTTGTTTTTTGTTTTTTTGCAACATCAGGTTAGAAAAACACAAGCATTCACACGTCAGTAATTAGAACATGCCCCTTTCGTTATCAAATATTTTTTAAAACTGCTCATTGTTCACCCAAATCAGCACCTTAATCTCAAGGCCTGGAAAAAGTTTAATTTCCCTTGCTCTTGATTAAGGCTCTGCTCTGTGCTGGCCCCAGATTGCTCCCCATAGCACCATACAATTCAAGCCCCTTCCAGTCCACAGTCAGAACGAACACCGGTTTTCACAAGAACTAAAGAGGATTCATTTCACCATCTAAGCTATTAACCCAGAGCCCAGACAGAAATGACAGATGCAAAATAAACAGAAAAAAAGCAGATGGTGAGGAGAGTTAGAGGGAAGAAAGACAGGGGACTGCATGCCATTAACCATTACTTTTCCAGTCTTCTTTTACGCTCACACTCTAGGATGCTTATGGCAAAACTTTCAGAGAAATCTCTCCAGCTCTTACTGCTCTTCATAAGCAAAGACAAGAAGACTGAGAAAAGGAGCATAATCATCAACATGGTGCGTTGAAACAAGAAATGGCTACTGCGACTAGAATGGTCATAAAAAGAACTAAAGAATTTCACCCTCCCCTCCCCCAGTGCAGGAACTCCAGGCAGCAGAGCAAATGCCAAATATAAGAGTGAGGAGTAAGCCATTTCTTGTGCAACTAACTACTATGAACAGCAAAATCTTAATTACAAGTTATTAAGGTCTTCAAGTGTTGAAGGTACTGTGCAGATGACAGCATGACAAAATGAAGCACTCAGTACTTCAGGGTAGGACTGTGCGAGGCTCACAAGTCCTGGGCTAGCCAGGATCTCTCAGGCAGAGCCGTTAGCTGCTTGCAGTGTGAAGTGAGACCTGGTTTTGACACTTATCTTCCACTGAACTTCACACACGAACTGTTCAGTTTGCTTTTACATATAGCAGCGTGTCATATTTATTATTACAGAGAACAGTTATCAAACAGGAGCAGAAATGCATCTAAACCTTCTCTGGCCCGTTCACTGAAGCCTGACACAAGGACTCCTTCTGGGGGTGCCCTGACATGGATTGTTTCAGTAGAAAATTAACTTTATCTTCCAATTTCGCATGTTCACACTGTACTTGAAGAAAAGCAGAAGGTTGCTCTCACCAGATAACAACACTTAATGAAGGAAGCGCACAGCACTAGCTGTACTGTATTTTAGTCAATATTCAACTAGAACAGGCAAGCTAATTAGCTTCTTAACGTAGCTAGGTCATAGATTATCATGTTAATGCTGCTAGTCCAAAGACACTCTCAGCAGCTTCTAAGTGGACATTCAACACTCGAAGATGAGTCTTTTTGTACTGAAACCAACCCCATGACCAATCAACTGATCATATCAGCAGTATCTATGTTAGCAGCAGCTAAGGCTTATGTTGGCACGGGAACAACCTTAATGCCTGAACAGGCAGCATCCTGTGCCAAAAAAAAGAACCGTTAGATAAACTGAAGATTGCAGGAGCCCAGCTCCACTTGACCACAGCTTTTATAAATACTAGAAGCCATGTCCATTAAGAAGTCTTTGAGAAAATACTTGATTAGAGGAAAATGAACATGTGCTCAGCAAAAACCATACCCTTACCATTCCAAAAAACATACAAGAGCTCTTTGAGAAAACTCTCCAGACTCTGAAATATTTAACCTTTAAGATGAAGCATTAACTCTTCTCTCATTTGGACTTTATGCCACTGTATGGTGAATGACATCAGAGAAAGAAAGAGATACCAGTTTCCAGACTGGGTCTTATTTGACAGAACGCTGGCTATTTTAAGCATTGTTTTTGCTCTTGTACTTACCTCTGAAAATTTTGGGGGTTTGATCAAAGACTCAACAAAATAAATAAATAAAACTCTTATCCAGTGAAGAAAGTGCTCACTGTAGCACAACATTTTGGGTCTGTTGATGTTCTCTAAGAACTACTAGTACCTTATTTATTGTCAACAGTTTTTAGTGAAACCATTGCTTAAGTTAAAAAAAAAAAAAGACATCATAAGTGGCAAACCATGGGCAGCTATGTGTACTGCATGAAAAACGGAAAATCATTTGAGAAGCTTTCATAAATAAAGCAGAAGAATGACCTTGCTGTCTGAAACAGCAACTGAAAATATATTTGAGAGTAACAATGGCAATTTGTGAGAGGAAAAACCTGCTACCCAAGTGCTAACCCCACTCCCGGTATTCTGACCTCATCAAAAAATTGCTGAGTTTTACGCAGTATAAATTTTAACTCTGTCAGCTCCAAGAAGTTTCTCTTCAGGGCTTCCTGGTTTGTGTTGATTTCTTTAAGCTCATTTTCAATTTTCTCAAAGTTCGCCTGCAAGATGGAGAAAAAAACAACACAATTATATAAATGCGTGCTGTTAAGCCTATCAAAATAATTTGCATGCAGTTTGCATACAAATAAAGACACTATCTCCAAACATTCTCTTCAGGCAACTTGAAACACTTCATTCTCAGCCACTTTATTTTAGACAGGACTTATATATTGATCTTCAATTAATTAGAAACCCTTAATGACTGCAGCGCAGATCGAACACAAATCATGCAAGCCCAACAATTTTGGAGGAATTTCACCTGTTCAAGTGAGCCAAATTACAAGCTTTCGCTTCTAATCATATTTGGACAAATTTGCAAGCAAAACAGTGCTTGTGAATCAAAATCAAACTGCTGTGAACCAGCACAGCCAGCATTTCGAGTGACCCCTGGGGACATCTGTACCGTGAAATTCACTCTGTATCTATCAATGGAGCTAATGTCACCTATTATCAAACACTACTTGAGTCTTAATAAGCATTATTACCTCCAAGTCAATCATGTCACGTGGAAAAGGCACCTCTGGGTTTTCACCAGTGTCCATGATAGGAATATTTGCCTTTTTAATCTCCTTCTCAACGAACCCTGAAGAGATAGCACTGTTAATGTTAACTGAAGAGATACTTCAAAGTCAAATTCTCACCATGCTAACCCACACCTAGGCTGGTTAATAGCCACGTACCCTTTCACCTCCTATTCCAACATGGTCTAATGTGGTTAGAGTTATCTTTTAACAAGGAAATGAATCATTGGAAGCAGTCTGACGGGCTGCTGAGCAGAAGGAAGGCAGCCTTCACTCCTCTGCTCTGCACTTTGCCTTTTAACAGGGTGCTGCAGGTTTAACCCGCGTTAATTTCTTCCTGTAAAAGCCCCAGAGTTACGGGCGCATCAAAACCCAGCGACACGTACTCAGCTTGCGGTCCATTTCTTCGCACCTCCTGACTTCATTAACGAATTTACGTTGGAACACGTTCACGTCCGGGTTCAGCTGCCAAAACAGAGACACATTTCCTCAGCGATACCCAAGCACAAAGGTGCCCACGAGGGGAGCAGCGCCAAGGGGAAGCCAAGGGGCATTGAGGGGGGTCCCCCGGGGCCTTTTTAAGGGCGGCACCGGGCCGGGGGGTGCCGGGGCCGCCCTTGAGTGGCTCCAGGAGGCTTCCCGGCGGCAGCAGCTACTCACGTCGCGGAACTGCACCTTCCCCAGCTCGCCCAGCTCGCTGACACAGCAGTAGGCGGCCTCGGACTGCAGGAAGAGCTGCGCCAGGGTCATCTCCTCGCTGCGGAACAGCTCCCCCATGGCGCCGCCGGGGTCCCTGAGGGGACAAACGGGGAGAAGGGAGGAGGGGGCGGGGGGGCTGACAGGCCGCAGCCAGCCCCCTCACAGAGCCGGTGGCGGCTGCGGGGGGCGAGCCCCGGCCCCGGTAAGACCCGGTAAGACCCGGTAAGCCTCGCCAGGCCCCGGTAGGCCTCACTAGGCCCCGGTAAGGCCCGGTAGGCCCCGGTACCTGCCGCCGCCGCCGCGGCCCCGCAGCTCCGCCACCAGCTGATCGACCGCGGCGCCCGCCCCTGACGTCACCGCGCACGTCTCCTAGCAACGACGCACGGCGCCGCTGCCGCAGCGGAAGTGACGACAAGGGGCTGGGGGGAAGGAGGGGCCTGGGGGCTGAGCCCCCCCCCCAGTGCCCCCCCCCTCAGAGCCCCCTCCCTCAGAGCCCCCTCCCTTAGAGCTCCCCCCTCAGAAGCCCCCTTCTCAGATCTTCCCCCCCCAGAAGATCCTCTCCCTCAGAGCTCCGCCCCCCCCAATTTCCAGTCCTTCAGAGCCCCCCTCTCAGAGCCCCCAGGGGCCCCCTCCCTCAGAGCCCCCCCCCCCGAGGCCTCCCCCTCAGAGCCACCCCCAAAAATTCCCCCCTCCTCAGAGCCCCCCCTCAGAACCACCCCAGGGACCCCTGTCCCCAGAGCTTCCCTCCCTCAGAGCCCCCCCCCCAAAATTCCAGACCCTCAGAGCCCCCCTTTCAGAACCCCCAGGGCCACCCCCCAAAGTCCCCCTGAGCCTCCCTCCCTCAGAGCCCCCCCTGAGGCCTCCTCTTCAGAGCCCCCCCCCCGAACTCCCCCTCCTCAGAGCCCCCCCCCCAGATTCTCCCTGCCCCAGAGACCCCTTGAGGCGCTCCCCCCAAATTCCCCTCCCTCAGCCCCCCCCCACGACCCCCCAGTGCCGTTCCAGCCCTTCCCACACACTCTGTGCTCTCTTCACGCGCCCGTACCCAGCCCCTGCAGCCTCCCAGTCCACCCAGTTGGGCTGCCCTGGAACAGGCGTTATTTAGCTGGAGTTACGGGGTTAAAAAAAAAAAAAAGGAGAAAAAGAGCAAAACCCAGAGCTGGTCTGAGCCAGATCCAGGTGCTGAAGAAGCTGGGCAGGGGGTTCCCTCCGGGAGCCTGGAGGCTGACCCGCGGGTTCCAGCCCTGTGACACAGAAACCCAGTGAAATGCCAGAGACCTTGCGGCCTGTCAGGGGTTTCCTACAGCAGGCGGTTACTGGAAACACGGTTCATGGGGAAGGAAGCCAGAAATCACAGAGGAGTTTGTCTGAAGTTAAAATCCACCACGCTTCCATGCACATTTTCTTCTTGGGAGGACAGAGAGGAATGGCTGGACATTTTCTTCTCTGTCCAGCCATTTCCTCTGCACTTAAGCTAAAGATACAAACTGGAGAATGTTTCATACAGAGCTCCGCTGCAAGCTGTGGGTATTTCTTGTTCCTGCAGGCCCTGGGCAGCTGGGTCTTGCTATTTCTGCAGTCAGCGAGCTGAGCAGTTTCCTCTAGACACAGGAACTTCCACAGGCTGCTGTGGAAGCAGATGCTGCGCTTTGCTTTCCTTTGTTGTCCTGCGTACATCTGGCAGCTTTGCTTTGAACCCGAGTTACTCTAATTTTTTTTAGGACTGTCTGTCCCCTGCCTATATAGAGAGTCCACGGTGGTGCCACGAAATTGCTGGGATGTTCGAATGATCTGAGATATTTCTGGGATATCTGAGCACCTGTGGCACAGCCTAGGCATGGAAGATCCAAGGCTCAAACTGTGCCTGTGCAGTGAGAGCACCAAGACAGTGTTTGTGCTACAAGAGGTTGAGACATTTCGCTTGCCCTTTGCGATCGAGGCAGCGTGAGGCTCCGCAGGGAAGGCTGCAGTTTGCCACCTGTTGGCTCTTCCCGGTATGTCTCCGCTGCAGAAAATGGCTGAAATGAAATTAGGCTTAAGATAGAAAATTACTCATCGCGTTTCAGCGTGGGGTGTGCCTGCTGCGTGCTCAGGGAGCACAGAATGTGGCTCTTGGTGTGTTCCAGCGAGCATCAAGACCGAAACCAAATTCCTGCTCCGACCATTTCTCTTTCTCTGTCTAGATGGATGCGCTCGGTCTGGTGCTGGTGGTTTTATTCCCAGCTGGGGAAACTGAGGCACAGCGATTGCACTGAAGTCACACAGGGCAGAGCTGGGAAGAGAGCGGTGTGGTCCCGGCCTGCCCGTGGAACTTCCCAGCAGCCAGCTGTGGGAATCCACTCTGAAGAGAGATCCCCGGTGAGAAATAACACGCTCTGGCGGGGGGGGGGGGGGTGGTTTTTTACATGGAACTGACTCATCAGCACCAAACACTGGAAATAAACACTCAGGAAAAAAAGGTCCCTCCAGGAAAAAACAGGGTGTAGACAAGCAAGCTATTTTTAATGCGTGACATAATTCCATAGTGGAGGCAGCACAGTACAGCTTACTAAAACCCAGCCTAGATCAACGGCGTGGTGTGGGTACAACGGCCTTAAAAAGCAAGCTGTCACACGACAGAGAGCACGGGGGCACGGAAAGTGCTGAGTGCAGCGAGCATTCCTCACGAAACAATGTCCCTATACATCTGGTTGTGCGTAGTGGGTTCCCCAGCTTGTATGCCTGGAATTGAGGACTCCTTCCAGTGCTGGTTGAGGGAGGCTGTGAGCCTGGAAAGGACAAAAATTGTCGGGCATTTGTTTTATTTGCCAGCCTGGGGCAAAAGGCAAGGGCAGGCTGGACCCCAACCCAAGGCAGGGGGGAAACTGCAGCCTTGCCAGTGTGCCTGCAGCCCTTCTGAGATCCCTCGGAGCCTGGGAGGGTTTCTGCTGCCTTGGGAGCAGTGATGTGATCCCACCCAGGGTCGCTCCCGAGACATGAGGTTTCCTTCTTTATGATCCCATGCTTGGTCTTAGTGGGTTGTGGACACCAGGAGCTCCTCCCGAGCGTCTCCTTGCCCCGTTGTCCCCAGGCAATGTTGGTCCCACCAGCTGTAAACTTCTGCCGTGTCAGAGTCTAGAACATACCTCGTGCCAGCCCCGAGGTTAAAAGTCAGTAAAATAAGGGTTATTCCTTCCTTTTGTTTTCCAAAGCATTCCATGCTCTATTAATTTATGAAATAAATAGATTGTTTTGTTTTGTTTTGTTTCGTTTTTGTTGGTTTGTTTGTTCAACCAATAAAGCCCTGTGTAGCACGATGTATTTGAGCACTTACAGGTAAATTTTTGTATGGCATACGCTGAAACGTGCCCTGAATTTAGGGCTGGTGACTAGATTTGTCGATGACTGAGGGTTGCAGAGCTGAGATCGCAGCTCTGAGGCAGGAGCGGCCAGCTGCTTCACTTCAGGAGTGAATTATTCTTACTCCTTTTGCGTTAAATCTGCTCGGAGTTGCGGTGCACTCTGCCTGCACCGGGGGCACTCCTGCTGTTATATTCACACACACTGGAGCGTGCGTTTTTATGACCCAGGAGTTATGTGCCGTAACTACTCAATCCAAATTACGGCTTTTTTACAGAGTGTTGAAAATCAGGCTCTCAAAATCCTGGAAAAAATGCTAACTGTTGGCAAAAGATCTGAATTCTCCAGCTGAACTTGAACGCGTGCAGTTGTTTAACCCAGCCTTCCTTTAACATATACAGCTGTGGTGTTTCTTTCTTTTCAGTAGCTTCCCGAGCCGTTTGCTCGAGCTTTTTGTTTTTTCCTCCCATTGCTTATCATGCCTCTAGACTTAGGGTAAAGAAGAGGTTTTTGAGTTCCAGAGCTTTGCATTCCTTGCTGAGCCGTGCCTGTGTTTGCATGCAAAGCCATCGCCTCCCCTCCAACTATTTTAATCATTTCAGAAAGGGTGGGTCATCAGGCATTTGGCAGCGGGCTCCTTTTATATAGCCGAGGTGGAGTCAGCCAATGACCTGCAAGCCTGGAAAATTTTGCAGGGCAGTTTCACTGGACAGCTTTGCAGAGCTGTGCCATTTGAATTTCAGCACAGACCTCCGCACACTGTGCTCTCCATTTCTGGCGTGTCTCCCAGCACAGAGTTTAGCTGAGGCTCGGGTTTAGTTTTCCCTCCTCTCTCTCCCTGCAGTGACAGCGTCCCCGGGGCTGTGCTAGCCAAGCGATCATGGAGGATACTACTTTGCAGATCATCGAACCACCAACCGCTTCCGAGGCCTCGGAGGAGCAAACGCCCGAAGAACCCATCAAATCAGACCAGATCAACGGCGTGATGGTGCTGACCCTTCTGGACAAGATCATCGGGGCAGTGGATCAGATCCAGCTGACCCAAACCCAGTTGGAGGAGAGACAGCAAGAGATGGATAGCGCAGTGACCAGCATCCAAGGAGAGCTAACCAAGCTGACCAAGGCGCACACCACCACCAGTAACACCGTGAACAAGATGCTGGAAAAAGTGCGCAAGGTGAGCGTCAACGTGAAGACGGTTCGGCAGAACCTGGAGAAGCAAGCTGGGCAGATAAAGAAGCTGGAGGCCAACGAAGCGGAGCTCTTGAAACGCAGGAATTTCAAAGTCATGATCTACCAGGTAGGGAGCTATTCCGTGACTTCTTTATGTTCTGGCAGTGGGTGTTTTCACTCCCGATGGCTCTGACACACTGCACGGTCCACTACTCGCCCCAGTTCCCCTGACTGGCTGCTGTTCCAAAGGGAGGTGGGTCTGAAATAGCTCCCATTCATGTTTCAGTGCCGTCTGTGTGTCCTAAGACAGAGTTGCTGCATTTAACAGGGATTTTAATGAAAGCAGCGAGAACGGCCCTAAGCACTTCTTGCGAGGGACTAGGAGTATCAAAACAACCCGATTTGCTGCTTAACTGAAAAAACAAACAAACAAACAAAAAAAAAAAAGCAAGAATGCACTGGGTTCAGAGGGGGGTCTGTGGTAAATCTGTCCACTAACGTCTTTTCTACTGAGGGGCACCATGTGTAGTGCTACGTGGAGAGCGGTAATATTTCAGATTTGGGACATGCATTTCATAACAACAAGACAGAGTAACCCCGGCATCGGGGTTAATCTCGCTGGCTAGGACAGAGCCATTAGAGAAAATACAGAACAATTGCATGAGCTCATTAGTTCTTGGGTCTGCCTTTGCCATTGTGTTTGAACGATTTCCATGTTCTCGTTCCTGTAACCTGCACGTCTGGAGTCCCCTTATTGTCTAATTACTGTAACAGCTTTAATTTGCTTCATGTTCATCCCCCGTGTTAAGGGTTGGATTTTTCCTTTCATATTAAACAAGAGGAGAAGGAGGAATATGTTTCTCTCCTTTCCTGTTTGAAGTCAGTCGTCCTTGTCAGAGCAAATTCTCATATTGGCCATGAAAGAAAAGTGAGTGAAATAGTTAATGGCTCAGCTAGAAGCCTCGGGGTTAGTACTAGACAGCCACAGGGACAAATAGAGAAGTGTCTGGTGCTGATCCCAGGAAGAGAGAGAAGAAATCCAGAAAAAAAAAAAAGGAAAACATTTCTCACTACAGTGTTTGAAGGGAGAGCTGATCATAATAGGCTCAGGAATCTAACAAGTGTGGGGCCTGTGTAACTCGCTGAATCAGAGCTTAAGCATTTGTAGTTTTATCGTGCCTGAAAGGCTGAAACACGCGAGCATATTCAGATCCTGCGGGCAACCGAACCAGCTTTATAGCTGCATTTATTGCAAGCTCTTTAAAGGCTTTTTTAGGAAGACGGACCTAACCGTGGAAAAATACGATAGAACTCTAAATGTCCTGCAAAAGCCACAAACGTTACAAAATGAGAAGAGTGAAGGGAATTGTTTAAACAAAACATTCCTTGTGGTTATGGAAATAGGTAGGAAGTTGGCAAGCTCCTGGGTCCTTTGGAAGCATCATAAATATTGGCAGATCGTCATTTTGTGAGCTGCTCATTTTGGTTTGGAGTTGCTCATCAATGTAGAGTAAAATTTGTCTTCGAATTAAAAAAAAAACCAACAACAACAACAAAAAAAACAGCTTCTAAAGGAAACCAGGGGCAAAACTGAAACTGATGCAATGAGGCCAGAACAACTTCTGAGGGAATCAGTCGAGGGGGAACTGCAGCAAGGATTTTATAATAAAATCCACGGTGGGTTTTTGATGTGTGAATACTAGAAAGAGCTAGGCAGTAAGAATATTAATGTGACTGAGTAACAAATGCTGTTATCTAGAGTACTCTTCTGCTGCGTTGCTGTGACAAAGGCAGACCCATGCACCGAGTATTTTGACTGCAGGATTAGGACCACAGGGAATCCCCTCAGCGACTGTGATGTGTTCTTGCAGTCCTCTGCAGTGTAACCACTGCTCTCTGCACACAACAGAAACACAGAATTTAGGAAAATATTCCTAAACTACATCAGTCTACAGCCTGTCTCAGAGCTACGATGATTATTTCTCATATAGAAAACTGATTTATTTTTCATAGCTGCATTAATCTGTAGATTGAACTCCATAAAAAGGTCACTACGAGATTGTCATTGTACGGAAACCCAGACGGTGTGGCTCAGTGTAAGGCAAAATCATCTGTCGGATGTAAGAGTCTCTCTTCCTGGTGGAAACCTTCTATTCTATGGAAGTTAAACGTTTGGGGGGATTTGGGAAGTTTTGTTTTAGGCTTTGGGGAGATTTATCCTACCTTGTTTTTTCCTGGGACAACAGCGTTTGTAGAATCTGCATCTTACTGTGGTTATGGAGATGCCAATCTTCAGAAATTTCTAACACAGGCTGACTGGGAATTGCAGGGATTTGCCAAAACAACAGGTTGCAATTTTGTGTATTGATTTATTCATCTGTACATTTTATTACTGCCAGCAATTCTAGGCATATCAATGACAAGCGTGGTACTTTGTCTGGAATTATGCAGAACAGATTATTCTAGTGCATTTAAATAGCAAAACTCGACAAGGATAGACGTGGTAGTTTTTGTGTGTACATCGTAGAGGCATTTATCAAACCAAGGATGACGTTGTGCTGCTTTACTGATATCAGACGATGCTGTTTGTTGCAAGAAGCCTTACTGATTCTCCCCAGATTACCCATTTACTAATATCCTCCTGTGTTTCAGTCTTAACAATGAAACATTTGCAGTGTATTAACAGTATTATAAAACCAACGCTTTGCAGTGGGCTCCACCCTGGGGGTTTAAATGTGGAAATTGCATTTTTTTCTTAACTGTGTCTATCATAAAAACAAACAGACTGCCAAAGTACAAAATAACTTTTGTCTAATTCAGCGTTTCGCTTCTTAAGATCCAACCACCTTTCAAAGTTTAAGTTATGTAGTCTCCTGGTAATTTAATTAGTTCTGTCATGGGGAACAACATTATTGCTACTTTCTAACTCAGAAAAAAATGTCTTTGGAAAGCTGTGATTAACTTCCATGTGTAATTGCATTGTCAGTTGCTGCGGATAAAAATGCAAAGATTTATTAGTCTTCTCTTTTGGACAACGAGACAAACTCGAGACACCAGATATTACATAAAACCAGCGACGGCTATTTTCAAGCAAGGTAGCTGAGCAGAACAGTCGTCATGCTCTAAACAGATTTAATATTGCACGATTCTAAGGTCTGAAGAAATAAAAGGTGTTACAGACAAATCAGCTCTTTCCAGGTTATAGATTTTTGGTTCTTCTCTCAGCGATGAATGCTGAGTCTCCAGCAGCTCTGGAAGGGACTATTTCAGGAGTGCAAATAAGACCTTTTGGCACCTTGAGAGAAGAGGTCAAACTGTATGCAAGTGCTAGATTTTGCTAGCTGTTAGCTTAGGAAGAAGTGAAAATCAAATTGTGTTTGGCTTGACCCGTGGAGATGAGCCTAAAGCGCGTCTGCGTTCGTTTCAGACTTTGGGGCAAAAAGTACAGTACTGAAAATCCCGTCCGCGGGGGCCTGCTAAGGCCTTAAACAGAATGTTTAATGCAAGGCATTAAACAGAAGGGTTACAGACATCGCCTGCAGCGACAGATGGAGGCACACTCGCCTTTGCCCGTTTTCTGAAATACACTCTGGCCTGGTTTTGTCAGGGGCTGCTCTGATCTCTGCCGAGGTAAGACTTTTCCTACGGACTTAGCTTGGGCAATTAGATCCTTGAGAATAAAATTAGAAAAAAACAAAACTCCTCCAAGTTGCCACATCTTCTGGTTCTGAAAATGAGGCTACTGAAAAAAGGTGACAACACTCATGTGAACAGAAGTTCAGCATTCTTATCAGAATCAGGACTTTCCTTCCTAAAACGTTTGCTGTCGGATGACTGCGTGTGTTCGTTAGCAGCACGTACAGAGCTCCTCAGGACTCCTTTGGTGCCTCCTGTCCCAGGCTCCTGCCTTGCAGAGAAATTGGGACACCAAAGTATCAAATCCGGTTAGAGTGGCTGCTAATGAAAACAAAACGGAGTGACTTCATCCCAAATATCCTGGGTTTAGACAGAAGAAACTGGGCTGGTTACTGCAGTTCATGGTGAAATAATGGGAGCCTAAGGCACAAAGCCGTGCGCTCAGACCAGGCTGTGCCTCATTCATCTGACGAGCAGCACGTGTCAGCAGTTATGTAAGCACGGGATTTTTTTCCTCCAAATGTTTTTTTGACAATTAAACCTATTCCTGTAAATGTCAAGGGCCTGCTTTTCTTACAGCCAGACGTCTGACTGCTCGCAGCCCTCGGCACACGCATTAGGTGTTGAGTTTCTAAAATGTGCCGGTCTTTTATTTTGAGGCTTATGTGGGAGCTGAGCTCTAGGGAGAGCCTGGCTCCTGATGTACGGCTTCGTTTCTATGAAATAGCAATTCCTGATGGTTTCGCAGGGTCGGAAGCTCCTGCAGGACTTCTCTGCTCATTGTTTGAACCCAGCAGCTCCTCGGAGCCCCGCAAGGAGCAGAGTTTCCCGGGGAAGGGCCGGGTGGGTGCTGCAGCGGGGCCGAAAGTGACCGCCGGCGGCACAATGAGCGGGGTAGGTAGGGCTGCACGGGGAGGTATAAATAGCACAGCTTGGCTTTTTGTGCCTCCTGTGGGCCTTATACGGACGGCAGCAGTAGGATCCCAGGGAGGAGGGATGAATTTCAAACCCACGCCTTGCTGCGGAGGATTCGGAAGCCAGATCTGAGCTTTTTGGGGGCTGCGATCCCCAAAGCAGAGCGTGGGGCTTGGGGTTTGGTGCCTTACAGAGCTTGGATTCAGTTCAGTTTGCCCAACTACCGGCATCTTTGCTGTGCGAATATCAGCCCAGAAAGCTGTTGCATCTTCACTTTCGTTCTGCTTTTGGCCACAGAAGCAGCAAAATGAGAGGTGAAAAAATGCCAGCCCAGGGAAGGGGGGAAATATTGTTCCAGTCATTTCCTTCAGGCTGCAGCCCCGAATTCAGCTGTTTTCTCTCTCCATGGTAAGGGCACCGTGTTGGCATCCTGATGGGCAACGATCCCTGCGTATTCTCTGCGTGTTGCTGAATTATAAGAGTCCCAAGATAATAGTTCAGAGGAGACTGTGCCTCTGAAGGATTTCGGGATGTTAATGGCTCTCATTTCCAGGGTTCTCCTCAGTGCAAATTGTC